ATCATGTATCTCCTGCAGGTGGACAACCCCATCGCTCCCAATCCAGAACCCCCTAAAAACTCGTCACCCCAACTGGAAGCCTGCGACTTCTTTCAGCAGGCAAATTAGCACCRTGGGATATGTTTCCCAAAGACTTTCCAGCCGAATCGATGGACCTTTCTGGCATTCGTAGGCTTATCAATGGCCAGCTAGCTGCTGTCACATAGCACGGTGCTCCAGAAGAGGCACAGAGTCAAGGTGGCCCATTTGGGGCATTATTCCACCCAAGTACGTAGAGTTCAGAACGCTGCTTCTGCCTTCAAACCATGCGCAAACAGGGGAAAATGGGTGGAAAACGGGCTCTGTTTCCAGTAGGTTGTTTTCCATGTCATTTTGGGGAGGGAAAGGGGGAGCTGGGGAGTTTCCCTGCCACCCAAACACGCAGGATTCGCAGCGCAAATTAAATCTAGRAAGAGCTGCCGCCTAAGAGGGTGCCCAGAGTGGTCGCTGGGAACCTGTTATTTCTTGCCAGCTTGAAAGAGCTGGGCTTAGCTGCTGCTAGAAAGCCCTTCTTAGTTATCTTTTGCAGGCTGGAATTCAAGTTTTTGCTCAACATTTACATTTACATGTAAGGGTTTTTTAGAAAATATTAATCTATTGGCTTATCTTGACAGATTTACGACCGTATAAAGCGTAGAGAAGTTACTGTGTGCATCCATTTACACCGTAAACTAATCTTGTCCCTGCACGTTGCTGCTTTTTCTTCCTTTTAAGTGGTATTCGCAGGGTTTTGTAGCACTTTATTTTCTGTTTTCTTAGCAATGTACCGTTTTGCTGTGTTAATCTGTATTTGGTTTATCTAATGACTAGCTGTCCAAAGAGCTTAAAAATAATGGATCTAATGGCACATATATGTACTGATAGCTGCCTGATCATAGGAGGTGGGTTTGGAAGTATTTTTAGCAGGAAAAAAAAAAAAAAAAAAGGGAAGAAATGGCTCTTTCAAATTGATTCAGAAGAGCCATGTGTCAAAATGTTCCTTATTTAAATACTTAGCAAATAATTAGCTTACAGTTTAAACAAAAATCCATTTGCAAATCCTGCAGAATGTGATTTAAGAACAGGCTGCCTGGAAGCCGTGCCGCATTAAAACAAGCTCGTCGCGGGCATTGTTCTCCCGAACGGGAAACATAGAGACAGGCTTGTAATTCTTGAGCGTTGAAGATGAAAATTGGCTCAAGTCATTATTGAATAACCAGCATGGAGATAATGTTTGAATACATGTGATTAACCACAGGAGAAAAAGAGAAAAGAATAGTTTGGGGGGGGGAGATATATAAAGAAATATATATAAATATAAAAAATATGTRTTTTTTTTATTTTGGCTATCATTAAAAGCCTGGCTTTTGGGGACAAAATCACCAAACTCGATGCTGCAGGAGATACTCCAGCGCAGTAGGAAAAGGCAGCAGTCAGGAGGCGATAGGTGCAGCGGAGGGGGAATGTGGTGCCCGGTTCAGGATTGGGATCCTTCCTCATCAGCAAGGAGGKTTCTGAGCGATGTCAAGTGAGGAGGAGAATAGAGCCCGCGTCCTTCGGCACTCGAGCCAGACAATGCCAGGAGAAAATGGCCCGGAGACTTGGAGCGAGAGAGTTCCCCGGGATTCCTGGAGGAGGAATGAGACGCGAGCGAGTCCCTTGAAAAGGGAGGAGAAAAGAAAAGAAAAGAAAAGAAAAGAAAAGAAAAGAAAAGAAAAGAAAAGAAAAGAAAAGAAAAGAAAAGAAAAGAAAAGAAAAGAAAAGAAA